CCACTAGTCCCACTGGTTGAGGAATTCTGGGAGTTATAGTCAAAAAACACAACTTTTCCAAGCTCTAACTGTAACGGTCTAACATATTTAATGAGAGTGGTAAAGTACCACGTTTGATCTGCTACTTGATTTTCGTCAGATTTAATCTGATACCTTATACATCAGGCAGCAGAAGCCCTCTGTGCAATGCTGGCTTGCTGATGTGATATTAAGGTCACTGACTACACAACTCTCGCCCTCTTTGGCTACCAATGGAAGACATGGTCGTGAGACTCACTCAAGAGGACAAATTAAGTACAAAGATGAGGTTCTGATTATTCTCCACCGTCCACAAATTATTTTCCTTTCAGTTGCCTCAAAAAAGCAAAGACGGTATGACGTTTAAAATAGATTAATGTAGACCAATCAGTAGCCATTTAAAAGGTAAAGGTAAAAGTGCCCCTTGACAATTTTTGTCCAGTCGTGTTCAACTCTATGGGGCGGTGCTCATCCCCGTTTCCAAGCGTTTTGTCCGAAGACAATCTTCCATGGTCACATGGCCAGTGCGATGTAGACACGGAACGTTGTTTACCTTCCCACCGAGGTGGTCCCTATTTATCTACTCACATTAGCATGCTTTCGAACCGCTAGGTTGGCGGGAGCTGGGACAAGCGATGGGAGCTCACTCAGTCGTGTGGATTCGATCTTACGACTGCTTGGTCTTCTGACCCTGCAGCACAGGCTTCTGCGGCTTAGCCCGCAGCGCCACCACGTCCCTTTTTAGCCATTTAGCATGACCCTAACCCTACCCCATATCCCAGTCCACTGCACCCTGCACTACACTACCTTTCCTCCATACAGCCACCATGCAGCTCTGGATTCCACTGCAGAAATGCATGTGGAGTGAACTCTTCAAATCCTTTTCTGCACCAGTGTTGTTTCACTGATTTTTCAGTGTTCCTGTTCACATATAGAGCCAGCATGCAAGCAGACATCACTCCTCTTTAGACATCACCCTCCATAGAAAGAAAGTGATGAAACTCACTCTCCTTCCAGCAAATTTACAACCACGAGGATAATGACTGAACAAGATAAGGGATAACTCCTTTCTTAAACCTGCTTTCTTAAAGGTGGGAAATGATGGCAAGTGTGATTCTTTTTGGCATAAAGACATCAGGTTAGCAAAGAATATACTCAGGACAACAAATCAGCAATGAGTTTCTTTTCAGGACTACATGGATGTCTAAATTCATATCAACAGAATAAATGAATTAAATCAGTCTGACAGATTTGGAAAAAACAAAATAACCATAGGAAGTCAATATGGACATATTGTCGCTCATTGGAAGAGCACTCCAGCTCCACCCCTCTGTCATACTGTCACTTCATCACCTTTCACATGATGGGAAGGCAAGTGTCTGTGTCTGGGAGATTTATCTACTTGAGCTGAATCCCTGTTAAGATTTAGGATCTGATAAAAGCTTCTAAATCCATGCAGGAAACCACGAGCAGAACAGGACCACCCCTTCAGATATTTCCCTTCCCAGCATATGGAAAGGGATGAATTTTACAACAGTTGTTCCTTGCCATTATGCTTTATTCATAGAAGGAGGTGAAACTAAAATACTGAAATACAGTAGGTCATGGTGGAGAAAGGACTGCTACTTTAAAGTAAATAATAATTTTACACCCTTCCATGAGCAAAGCAGAAGATGTTATTGTTGCAGTGTGCAACAACAGTGCTGTCTGCTTCGATCCGATTACCTGTGGCAGAAATACCAACATGAAGATGTGTACTGTTTAAACAGGTCCTCGGCTGCTCTTCTACTGTTTTCAAACAGTTCAGAAGCATCCTATGAATACCCATGGGTGCTATATCCACACCACAGCTATAAAGTTCCCACATTCAATCGCAGAAATTGTCTGATTTCAGATCTTCCCTCTATCTGCAAATCCTTATTAGAGCACAACTTAAGTGAATATAATAATCATGACTATAAAAGAAACTCTTCAACCTTTCACATGAGTCCAAGTCATAGCTAAACAAGGACAATTCTGCAAGAGGGTCCCAACTCCTGCCAAGAACAGAAATTTTCTAAAATGGCATACAATTATTGGATTTAGTACATAACCCTGTATTTTATACTCCACACTAGACTGAACTAGTAGTCCCTAATAAAAATCAATTGAATCAGTGGAATTTACTTAATTTTGATTCTAAATTCAGTAGTTGATTCAACACATTTACTCCAGCTAGAGACTGTTAATTAGATTTACACCAATAGTTTTTATTTAAAAGTCATTTGTGCCTTCATACTTGCAATATATTATGTCTAAGGGAACAGAACTGTTTTAAGTTTCAAACTCTGGATAATTATTTCACTCCTATTGGTTAAATCTTTTTGCTTAAGGACTGTAACTCGCCTGTTAAATCAGTGTAAATTTAGTGACTCACCTCCTCCATAAATTCCACTGATTCAAATGGGCCTACTCGAACTGTAAATTGCAACTAGAGTAATCCAATTTAAATCAATGGAGTTTATGGAGGTGACTCACCAAATCCCCACTGATTCAATGTGCCTATTCTGTTGCAGCCTATTAAGCTAAGCAACAGGATTTCAGCCACAGTTCACAACTAAAGCCTTATATTTGTATATTTTCTATTATAATCAATCTTATTTAGAAGACCCACTTCTTAAGAACAGCTGTATGGATGAGTTCAAATCAAAGATCTGCCTCAATATCTTTGGCCTGATGGGTGACTGGTCTTTTAAAATGCTGCGTTGGTGTTTTTTATTAGTTAATAGCTACATCACATTATACAGTATGATCCAACGCACATGTATGCAGGCAAGTTCACTGAATTCAGTAGAAAGCAGTCTTAAAGAAATATATGCAGGACTGTATCTGTCTAAATCAACAAGATTGCTTTTATTTTTCAAAATTAAAAGAAAAGAGTTGTACCCATCCTTGATCTATATGATACTCCACACTAAGGATAACTGGTCTGAATGGAACATAATTACTTCAGGGCTTGTGCCTTTTCAATCAGTCAGTGTCCCTGCAGTGTTTAGAGTGGCAGAGGGGAAGTGGCCTGTGGTTAAACAGAGGAAATACCAAGGAATTTTAATAGAGCAAATAGTCTTTTTACTTCCTACAGGGTAGCACTTCAAAGGCACCCTTGCCCTAGAGCAGACAATGTATTACAGGGGCCATCAGTCATTTAATAGTATGTCAAGTCTATTCAAAACTTACAAGCAGAACCCAAGATAAATGCTACATAAACAAGACAATTGGTCCTATCCTGCATTTAGTGCTTGGCAATATATCCCTCTCTATCAGCTATTTTTTTCTCCAAAAGAAAACAAAATCAAACAGTTCAAATCTGTATGCTTTTAAAAAACAGCTGAGATAAATGCATCCCAAGAAGTATATGGAAATACAGATTAAAACAATGAATGTGTGGAAGCAATTTCCAACCTTGAGGTTTTTGCAAGAGTGCAAATTATGTGCGGTTTTTTTTTTCACTATTTTTAATATTTGAATAAACATATTTTCCCCCCTTTTATACTTGGCAATTTTTATCTGAAAATGTAATTCACTACCACACTGCTAAACACTCACAGAAAAGGAAGACTTGATTAAGTATTTTAATAGTTTTTGTTGTTAAGACCCACAGAACTTGATGTATGGGGTGGCTTCAAAAATATGCAAATCAAATATCACTTTTGTTATGTGAAACATACTAAATAGAGGCAGCCCTTCAGTGCCTTTTCCTTCAAGAGCCAAGAGTTAACAAATTCAAGATGCAAATATATCCAGGGGAGAGTTAAGAAGAGCTTTACAAATGGTTGACTTCTTTTGTATTTCCTCCCCCCCCCTTCCAACCCTGTCCCTTTTTTTCCCTCTAAGCATGGGACTATTCCCTACATCTTCCACCAGTTGGGGTTTCTTTGGGCTGTTGCTTTTATTAAAAAAAAAACCCGCTTGCTGTAACCACCACCACCCCTTCCACAGCCTCCGTATTATAATCCAGATCCAAGGAAATCTCAGTGACAGTCTTAACAAAAAAAGAGAAGCAATGAAAGTCACTCATGCTCTACGACAAGCCTCATCTGGAATCTTTAATAAGGCTACAAATGGAAACGAGGGGTTGGGGGGCGGCGGAATCTCCCGGGAAGTCCTTTCTTTGAAAAAAAAAAAACCCACATGCACCCCGCGGCCAACAAATCACAGCCGAGAAACCCAAGGCGAAAAACTTTGCAACCCGCGAGCTGCTAAAAGGGACAAAAGGCAAAAGCCCTGACACAACTCTCTTTTTGTCACGTCACAAACAGTTCTCCTTCCCCCCCCCTCCCCCCCCACCGGGTCCCCTTCCCCTTCGGTCTAATGACCAGGCCTGCAGCCAAAGCAGCCTCCAAGTCATTAAAATCACAAAGCCCCAGCGCGCTCGCCTTTCATCCCTCCCGCCAGAGCAGGTCTCGTTCCGGAGGGCGCGCGGATGAAAGAACTGTTGGGTGACTTCACACTTGTTGGCTTCTTCCCTCCCGCCCGCCTTCCTCGCCCCGCTTCCTTTGGGGCGAACCTTTATTTCGGCCG